GGTACGGTCACTTTCTTGGGTGCCAACGTCATACACAAGCACACCATCGTAGCGCGTCGTGTAAATCGCACCTTGGATCGATACAATATTGTCTGGTACTACTGTATTGCAGCAAAAAGCAGCGGGCCCGACATGCCGCGTTCATTCGCCATGATACGACGACCTCTCGTAGCTTCGAGTATCTGCCATTGTAGTAGGTGAGCTCTAAGTGTCGACTGTACTAGCCAAACGAGAGCTCCACTTTGGATAATCCCGTAATGCGAGACTCGGATTGGCAAACGTGATATCCGTCCAGTACAATCCACACACGGCAGCAACTCTTTACAACGTTGTGCAAGCGACGATCACTTGCAGCTCCGGCCATCCCACTCACTGCCCACGCACAGGATGTGCCCACATTGCTCATTTTCGATTTTGCAGCCATGAGTTTTCAACCCTTGGAAAGCTCTACCGCCCGACCCGACCCACCGCTGCGTGGCCTTGAGGAAGCAAACACGGACGGTCGCCTGGCCCAAGGGGTGTCCATGATGGAGCTCGACACGCTGCGTGACAAAGTCGAGAGAGCTGCGAAGATCCTCAAGGTAGTACTCGTATCGATCTATTGTGTACGACACGAGATATCATTGGGCGATGCATTTCTAGGATCGCATCTCGATTGACGCCGATGCGTTTTCGAGCGATTTCGCCAACGTCCCTTGGGACAACCATTTAATGACGCTCTTGCACCACGGAGACGAGTACATCCATGGAGACTCGATATCCTCGAAGATCAAAGCCGCGAAGAAGGAGCTTTTGATGCACCCCGTGATGCGCTACGTCGTGTCTCTTGGGTGGCGGGTATGATACTCTGGACTCTCCGAGTTGATGACGTCGGTTCTAAAACTGCGGTATTGGTGTAGAAGTTTGGTCTGCGCAAGTACTGCGAGCAGCTCTTCATGCACTTGCTCTTGCTCTTGACGCTCACGGTGTCGCTCGGGCTCTCGCTGGGGACCGCGACAGGTCCCAAATTTGAGAAAGTCTTCATGTTTTGGCTCGTCTGCATGTCATTCCTTCTTTTGTCGCTGCTCGCGACGCGCTTCTTGACGTGGAAGAACAAGGTGCCGTGCGCTTGGCTGACGCTCGTGCTGTGGTACGGCGTCGTCGCGGGCGTCCTCATTTACTACGACACGCTGCTTGAGCTTCTCGAGTCGCAGGAGCTGCCCAAAGCTAGCGACTTGGAGTGGTTTGGTCGCATCAACAACATTCTCCTCGGGCTCTCGGCGCTCTACTTTTGCATCTTTGAGCTCCGCGAGTTTGCGGCGGATATGCCGGACAAAGACGATCGCCGTGACATTCTCGGCCGCTGGCTCTGCGCTTTGGACTACATGCTCACGTCGATCATCAACTTGTTCAAGGGTGACCACCCGTCGCCGTACCTCGAGTCGTACTGGAATCGCATCCAGCTCCCAACCTTCTTCTTCGTCTTTGTCTACGTCGGCTGCGAGTTTACGGCGCCGTTCTCGGACAATATGCGTGTTTACGCTGGCATTCCGGCCATCTTGCTGCTCTGGATCATGTGTGTCCAGTACCTCGAAGTCTTCCCCGCCGTCGGGTACCTCCTCCCGATGATGCGGCGCATGCTCGCCGACGTCGCTTGCTACTTGGTCTTTTATTTTCCGATCCAGTGCGCGTACTCGAGCGCGTACTACCTCCTCTTCAAGAGCCAGGGCGACCACCTCAAGCCGTACGAGCCCGAGCCAGCGTTCGCGTCGAACTTTACGAGTGCCATGCACCGCTTTTTCCCGGGCGTCGACACCTCCGACAACGCAACGACGATGGCGCTCCTTACGGTCCTCAAGACCAAGGACAAGTCCGACATGTTCCTAGGCTACGAGACGATGCCCAAGAGCTTCCTCACCACGTACCTCGTCACCTTTGGCCAAATCAACTTGGAGCCGTTCGACCAGCTCGAGTCACCGTCGGCGTATGTGCTCGGCTACCTTCTCTTGGTCACGCACGCGACCATCGTGATCGTCATGCTCCTCAGCGCCCTCATTGCGATGATGAACAAGACGATGGGCGCCCACATGGATGAAGCCAAGCTCGAGGCGTGCATCACATTCGCCGAGTGCGTTTCCCGTATGAGAAAGGTCGATACGATTACGGTAAGCAAGATCGATTGGGACAACCTGGGCTATCAAAAACTGTACGATGACACTATGGCCGATGACAAGTATGACAAGATCCCCAGTAATCAAGAGCTGCTCAAGGCGATAACGGACCTTACCAAAGTTGAAGCTCCAGCCGAGGGCCAGGCTCGTCGGCGCAGTGCGGGAGGGTTAGTATAATCAATGCTAATGACGAGGCAGTTTTTCATGGACACGAGGACGTAGTTCATGGTGGATTCGTCCAGGTTGGCCTTGTAACGTGGGCCGCGACAAGAAAGCATTTCCGCAACAGACAAAGCCAGCCAAGAGTATCGATTGAAACGCAGGCCCTCTTCAGCTGGATGGACCCTCTTACTCTCTCACCCGCGTGCAAAAGTACCATAAACTCTCACAATTATATGTTTCCCAACAGCGTCCTTTGCGTCGAGCGATTCCTTTCCAAAACACAGGCGCGGACATTGTGATCGAAAGATCATCCGCCACTATCAGGTATCATTATCCGGATCCGGTTCCGAATGCATTGCACGAGGAAGTGCGCACGAGCGCATGCAAATTGCAAGTCCCCAGACAAAGTGGTAGTTCCGGCAAGCCATGCTCACGGCACTGTGTGCCGTTGCATATCTGTGCAGTCGGCAATAAGATTTGTTTCTGCATTTGCTTCTCAGTCTCAGTAGGCTCAGTAGCCACCACCAGCGATATGGCACAGCACATGGAATCGGTCGATGCCAGCAGCTTGCACGTACACCCGACGCCATTTCATAGCGCCAACTAGGAGCGCAGAGGTCAACTTGCGCTGGTTGTAGCCTAGGCTATTGCATCAAGACTCTGCGAAGCGTCAAGAAGAGAAGTTCTTGTCGACTTGTTGTCGTCTAGCAGTATAGACACTAGTTTACCACCAGGTTGATCCGGGCTCGAGTCCAGGGCCCCGTTCTGATTCGAAGCATGCCAAGGAGCTCTCCGACGAACAAGGGTCAATGCTAATGGAAACTTGATTCGATATTGAAGAAATCCACCCGCGACGCTCTCCTTTTTCAGCTGCTGCGTCACGACACCATGGCCGACGTGTCTTGGTTTGATACCGTTGGTTACAAGAGAAAAACGGTACCCCAACATGCGCATCACATCGTGCTGAAGTGACGGGTACGGGCACTCGCTGACCTATGTGATCTTATAAAATTCATTAGGCGTTTGTCTTTCGCATGCATTGCAAACACCTCTTCATGTGTACTGGCTGCTCGTCTCCACGACGATGATCTCGCGCTCGATGAGCCTCGGCGCTTGAGGATGCACCGCTGTTTGGGGGCAAATTTCACAACACGCTGTTTGATTGCGGAGAGCTTGGTCTTAAGTGGGGCTGCACTAGATGGCGTACAGTATGACGTAGGCGGATGCGCCGGCTTTTGGAGCCATCAGATCCCACCTCGGGTGAGGCTGCAGGACCTGTGGCATCGCGTCGGCAGTGTGCCAGTAGGGTGCTTACTACACTGAGAGAAGGCCGCCATGGGCGTACATGGATCCCCCAGAAATCCCACGTCGGGTCACTTCCGAACAGCCACCGTTGCGTTGAGAGTATATTCCCGTTCCTCACCAAACCGTGCATTAGATGATTGCCGAATCTTTATCCGGATCCGGATAAGTATGCGCTTGCCACTTTGCAGTATCTCGACGAGCGCGTGCAAACGACAAGTCCAGTTGAGGTACCTGTCCCGACATCGAACTCGGTGCAAATGATAGAACTGTGCACTGCAGCACACAGTGCAGTTGCCAGGACGATTCATTTTTGCATTTGCCTTGTCTTTCGCATACAACAGCAGCATGGACGCACCGCCAGCTGCCGCCTCGCTCATGCGCCCACCACCGCCTCCGCCCAACGCCCGGGCGGCGGGCATTCGACCAGCTCCGGTCATGACAAAGGCGAAAAGCATACGGGGCCTGCGCGGCGAGTCCAAGATGCTCTCCGACTGCATCCGCGACACGAACCAGCTGGACGACATTTTGACCAAGACCGTGACAAAGTCGCTTCTCTTTCGACTGCTGCACGACGACACGAGCAGCAATATGTCGTGGTTTCATCGCGAAGCGATTCAAGCTGAGAAGAAGAAGCTGTTGCAGCACCCCGTCATGCGTGTCATCGTGCTTCTTAAGTGGCGGGTATGTCACGCACTGCAATTGGTTTGGACCTCATCGATGTCCTTAGACGTTTGGCTTTCGCATGTACTGCGAACACCTCTTTATGTACTGGCTGCTCCTCTTCACGATGATCCTCTCGCTCTCGATGGGCCTTGGCGTCGTCCCCGAGTCGACCTACCACGAGCTCCTCATCGGCTGGCTCACAACGTGCTCGTTCCTCATCATTGTGGCCTTTGCGACGCGCTTTGTGGCGTGGGAGACCAAGTTGATCTGTGCCTGCGCTGCGATCGCGGTGCTTGGGTGCACCATGGGCGTCCTCCAGTATGCGTACGAGCCGCTTCGAAAGCGGCTCAGCTGGGAGATGTTTGGCCGCATCAACAACCTCCTTGTCGGGCTCTCGGCGCTCTACTTTTGCGCGATCGAGCTCCGCGAGCTTGCGGCCGACGTGGACAATGAAGATTTGCGCAAGGAGATGGGCCTCCTGAAATGGCACGGCGTGCACATCCCGCGCCATATGTGTTTCGCGGTGTGGGACGTGCTCCGTGGCCACAAGCCGACGCCGTACCTAGAGTCGTACTGGAATCGCATCCAGCTCCCGACCTTCTTCTTCGTCCTCGTCTACGTCTTTTGCGAGTTTACGGCACCATTCTCGGACAGCATGCGCGTCTACGCTGGCATTCCGGCTGTCTTGTTGCTTTGGATCATGGGTCTACAGTACCTCGAGGTCTTTGGCTCGATCGCGTATCTCCTTCCGATGATGCGGCGCATGATTGCCGATGGGTACAGCTTTTTGGTCTTCTACTGGTCGATCCAGTGCGGCTACACGTGTGCTTACTACCTCCTCTTCAAGAGCCAAGGCGAGAACGACGCGTTCGCACCGTACAACTCACTCCCCGAAAGCTTCATCACGGCGTACCTCGTGACGTTTACGCAGATCAATCTCGAACCGTTCCAGGCGTTGACGTCGCCGGCGGCGTATGTCCTTGGGTACACACTTCTGCTGACGCACGCAACGATCGTCATCGTCATGCTCCTCAACGCACTCATTGCGATAATGAACAAGACCATGGGCGCGTACGTGGAGGAAGCCAAGCTCGAGGCAACCGTGACCTTTTCTGAGTGCGTCTTGCGCATGGAGAAGGCCAAGACGTTCGGCACAAAGCCCCAAGACTATGTTGCCGTCGTGGGCAAACGTCACATCTTCTTTTACAACGCCTTAGAAGAGACGCTGCGCCAGCTCCGCCACGAAAAGAACAAAGACAAGGTCGTGCTCGACGCGATCAAGGCCTACAACAGCGCGGTGCACTCGTTTCAACCGTTCGTCTAAATGTGTCTTTCATCAAATACTTCTTGCTTTATGACGTGCGCCTGTTTTGCTGAGACTAGATCGATACTAGTAGCCGAGCGGCGCTACATAGCTCTGGTTGCGCCATCCGGGTTCATCGCAGATGGCGGCAAACATGCTGCCGCTGCTTGACGTGGCACGCTCCATTGTAGATTCCAGAGAAAGGCGAAGATGTGGTCTCGTCCTAGCATCTCATCGATCGATCACTATCGGCACCGGAAAGGCAAGCCTTTACGTACTGCGGGTTTCACTCATAGAGCGATGGCAATTGAATACAGTCAGAAAGTGTTATGTCCGTCGATTTCTTTAGTCTAGCGGTATAGACACTGGTTTTACGGGCAGGTAGAGCTTGGTTCGAGTCCTGGCAGTGTCACCTTTTTCCACTAATTCCAACGTGTGCGACTGCCCCGGTTTGAGGAGTGTCTATCGTACTTTTTGGGTTGTAAAGGGGTTTCGAATCTCGTCTACTGGCATGTTTCTTGTGCATTCCACTTGGCAGATGGCTTCTACCAAGATATATAAGATCTCTTATTTACCCTTGCTTCTACCAGATGTCTTTGCACAGTTGTACAATACATATGCGCTTACATCCCTAGGTGCCTTTGTTGTGCTGCTGCTGGGTTCACGCAGGAAGCGAGCTTCGAATTCCGGTGCGCGCGAAATATATGGCAAGGAAGTATGGAGCGATGTCTCTAGCGCCTCCGTGTCACCGCAATACGCGCTATACATCGGCAAGCGTGTTGCCTGTTGATAGTACATGGAGTAGGCATTCGATTGAGCCATGATATAACGTGATCTTGCGAAAAATCAGAGAGACTACCAACATCCTACTCGTTGATCAGCATCCGAATAGCCCCGTTCTTCGATTCAGCATACTTTAATCAAGATAGAACCGCGGTTCGAAACCATAGTGAGATCAATTAAAAACGATTGACCTGCCTTTTGGTCACCACGTATGATTCCAACCAATAGAAAGGGTACCACGGGCCTCTGGAAGCACCATGGCGCGTCGAGTTGGCGTTGGAGAGCTCTCTTGTCACACGTTTTTGCCGAAAGATCGACCATCAAGCGCCCAGAACAGACACATAAGCATTCCAGGATTCGAGGCCGCCATGGCAGACTACATGATGCCCGCGAAAGACGCCACATTCAACCGACTCGAGCACTTCGACTTTCTGGGCATCCAAAAGGAGATGACAGCGACCGACTCGCATTACTACGTGGTGGCGGCAACGTCCCGTACCAGGGTCACCAGCGTACCCATAGCTGACCCGGCACGACTCAGGAAAGAGTGCCTCCAGGAGCTACTGCACCACGACGCCAAAGGCAACATGTCGTGGTTTGACGGCGACGCGATTGAAGACGAAAACAAAAAAGTGCTCCAGCACCCCGTAATTCGCGTCCTCATCTTGCTCAAGTGGCGCGTACGTACTAGTACGTCATTCGATCTGGGTGTTTTGCGCGCGTAGGAAGTCGAAACGACCTTTTCACGAAGGGACGTATCTTGCGAACCGTCGTAGAGCTAGCATTTTAGATCTCGACTCCTACTAAGCAACCCGCCTCACCTCACCCGAGGTCCTGGCAGTAATGAAGGCATTACGCCCATTGCCCCCTGAGCAAGCTCGCCATTGTGAAACATTGCAAATCATTTCACGTTCCTTCTTGGCGTTTGGCTGTCCATGCAGAAGACCAAAATGCTGTAGACATCCACAAGCATGCACCGCATCATCGGGAGAAGGTACGAGATCGAGCCAAAGACCTCAATGTACTGGACCCCCATGGTCAAGAACAAGTAGAGTGTCGAGATGAGATGCCCACGTAGACGCGTATGTTGGTCGAGAACGGTGCCGTAAACTCGCAGAGCACGTATATGAGGATGAAGAAGAATGTTGGGAGCTGGATGCGGACTCGAGGTACGGCGACGTCGGCTTGCCAATTGCGAGGTCATACTGTTCTGGCCGGAACCAAACGCAACTCCCAATTGGCTCCGGTTGCAGACCAGTGTGTTGGCAATTGTGCCGTCAATCGTGTCGCCAAATTTTTCGCGCGCTGTCTTGCTTCAACCTGTCGGCCAAGTAGAGTATAATATACTAGTACTATTATAGTGTAGATTAGCCAGTAGGTACTTGATCGTGTGGCTCTCGCGACGTCTTCTGGACCCGTGACGAGCTCACTAATGTCCTCACTTTTCGCTTTGCCTTTGAGTCAACTTTTCGATTTTGATCTGTCTTGAACGAGCTCAAGCCAGCCGGTCCGTCGAGGCCTGAGTGCAGAACACATACACGGACTTGACAAAATGGCCCGGCACGGTCACGAAATACCGATACGACAACGTAGCCCGTGTCTGTTTTGTGGTATCGGGAGGGTAGATGTCGGCTGCGAGCTCGTACGTTTCGACGACGAAAAAGTAGAGCGCCAAGAGCCCGACAAACGCCTCCCAGTTGAGGCACTGGCGAAGCGGCTTGTACGCACATTGGAGGCCACCCACGGTGCAGCCAAGCACGGCGATCGCAACGCAGGCGCAGAGAAACTTGGTATTCCATACGACAAATCACGTCGTAATGACTGCAATAATGAGGAACGAGCACGTTGTAAGCCACACGAGGAGGAGGTCATCGTACATGAACGCGGGCGCGACGCCGAGGCCCATTGAGAGCGAGAGTGCTATAGTAAAAAGGAGAAGCCAAAAAAGGAGCTGCTCGCAATACTGGTCGATCCAGTGCACGTACACGTGTGCGTACTACCTCCTCTTCAAGAGCCAAGGCGAGAACGACAAATTCGCGCCATATACCGCTCGAAAGCTTTATGACGACGTACCTCGTCACATTTACGCAGATCAATCTCGAGCCGTTCCAAGCCTTGACATCGCCGGCCGCATAAATTTATGTGCTTGGCTACCTTCTCTTGCTCTCGCACGCAACCATCGTCATCGTGATGCTCCTCAACGTCCTCATTGCGATGATGAACACGACCATAGGTGTCCACATGGACAAAGCCAAAGTCGAGGCGTGCGTCACGTTCGCCGAGTGCGTCTTGCGCTTGGAGAAGGTCGAGACGTTTACAACATCGGACGACGACTGGATGCAGACGTTGGGAGCCAACCAAGGCGACACCTTTCACACCGTCCTCGAGGAAACGGCACAATGCGGTACGAGTCAATCAACCAAGATTCGCTCGCGACGCCATTGCCAAGTTGAGCGAAATCAAGCCGCTACCGCGTGAACGAAAATGAAGGATTTGTGTTGTCGCTGTACCGGACGCCCGCAGTCGGACGGCGCAAGCCCACATGCTCACTTGGAAGCAGGACCGACGGCTCGGCCAAGCACAAATGATCGTTGAGTAGATACAACGCATGCCCAGATATGGGTCACATTAAGTTCATATCCAAGCTACGCGTTTTAATTTCAATCTCAATTCGAGACTGCTTTGCCAGTTTGCCCTTTGAGTTTGCCGTCGGGATGACGCTGCCGTATCTATGCACGTGCTGCCGCAGCAGCGATCGACGAAGAAGAATCCACGGAAGTGCGAGGATGCTTTCTGCGTCTGACGTGGCCACTGAATAGCGCACTCGACCAGCACGACACGACAACGTCAGCCCAAGATCTTTGCGAGGTCGGACGGTCAACGTCCACCGCCACTGGTCCACACGACCGTGGGTTCACGCCGAGCGTTTATATGCACCGACGTCCGCGGATCATGTCGGAAGTTCCTTTCAGATCTGAGTCACCTTGCGATGCCGCGCCTCGTCGCGCACTTGCGTCTGCCTCCGCGTGCCTGCTTGCATGGCCGCAGTGCGATGGCCACGACCTCGGGTGCTCGCGATGCACCAAACCCGGCGGGCGGCGCACGTCGACCGCCCATGGCACATCCTGCGGCGTCATCCGGCCGCGCCAGCTGGCTTTTTCCACATCCCATGTGCCAGCGAACGGGTTCATGGATCTTGCGCCGCCGCCGCCATCGTCCGTCGACTCGACGACGTACAAGTACACGGTACGATGCATATCCATGACTACGACGACGCAGACTGCCCATCGCAGTCGGCGCCGATTCTCGAATGGTCGAATGATCGGGTGCGCGGACCGACGTCATCTCATGTGCAGGGCGATGTGGCCAATCGGAAGTTGGATGTCGAACGTCGCTCGTCTTCCGACACGCGAGCTCCGGATGTTTTTGCGGCCAGATCGAAATGCGACGGCCGGCTTCACCGACGCAGCCAATCTGACCCCACGCTTGAAAATCACCCAAAAGAGGACGCCCACCATGTGCGCGATCTTCTTGTTCCATTGCCACGTCCATCGGACCACGTAGAAAGTGCAAACTCGCCAAGAGCGCCAGGTACCAGATGCGAGCGTCAGCACAGCGAACGCGCTTGTTCCATCTCGCCCGAAATGCTGGCGCGCAATGGCTGGTCGCGAGCCCACGTTGAAGCCCGTCCGATCACTTCGCCAATAGCAAGCCACGCGTGGCCAGCTGGCGGCCGCACAGAAACGACCGCGCCGATTTTTGTCCCCAAATTCACCTGAATCCTCTCAGAGTTGATATGCGCGCGTGCCACAGTGGGAGGCATCGCCAACGACAGGCGCCGACGCGCCGCGGCGGCCTTTCTACCTCTCACAATCGATCTTTGGCAACCCCAGACCTACTTCCTCGCCGCCGGGCGCGACAGCCATTAAGCTTGGTCTTTGTATGCAGTATACGGAACCCAAGTGCAATAAGATTCGCCAGTTGAGAAAAACTGGGATTTGCGATCCGAAAGTTGATTTGGTTTCAGTATACGTGGCACGCTTCAAGTGCAATCTGGCCGACGTTGCCATTTCCGTTTTTGCTTCGTATCAACAAGGTCGAAATGGTTGCCAACGCGACTGCCAAGGTGGCCGCGGTTGTCGCCGCCGGCGCCTCGGACGCCTCGGCCTTTGGCCTCATCATTGGCGCGTGCGTCTTTGGCCTCCTCTTCGCGGGCTTCCTCTTCTGGCAAGTGTCCAAGATCCAGGTCACGCGCCGCGGCGAGACGTACGAGCTCCTCTCGCAGGAGTCGCGCGGCCAGACCGCCGACCGCCTCTTTGAGATCTACACGGCCATCCAGCAGGGTGCCAAGGCCTTCCTCCTCGCCGAGTACACGCTCTGCTTTGGCTTCATCGTCGTGTTTGGCGTTGTCGTGCTCGTCCTCACCTCGTTTGTCAACAAGCCCGACCAGACGTTCGACTGGACGGTCGGTGCCTTGACGGCCACGGCCTTTGCCGTCGGTGGCCTCACCTCGATCGTCGCCGGCTACATTGGCATGATGGTCGCTGTCTACTCGAACGCCCGCACCACGGTCTCGGCCATGAAGGAGGGCGCCGATGGCTGGCGCGAGTCGTTCAACACGGCCTTCCGCGCCGGTGGTGTCATGGGCTACGCGCTCACGTCGCTCGCGCTCATCGTGCTCTTCGTGCTCATCTTGGCCTTCGAGACGGTCTACCCGCTCGCCACGGATGCCAAGCGCCTCTTTGAAGCCGTCGCCGGCTACGGTCTCGGCGGTTCGTCGATTGCCCTCTTCGGCCGTGTCGGCGGTGGTATCTACACCAAGGCCGCCGATGTCGGCGCCGATCTTGCCGGCAAGGTCGTCGAGAACATCCCGGAGGACGACCCGCGCAACCCCGCCACGATTGCCGACAACGTCGGTGACAACGTCGGTGACGTCGCCGGTATGGGCTCGGATCTTTTCGGCTCGCTCGCCGAAGCCACGTGCGCTGCGCTTGTCATCTCGACGCAGTCGTCGGCCATCATCAAGGCTGGCTGGGCCGCCACGCTCTTCCCGCTTGAGATCACGGCCGTCGGTATCTTTGTCTCTGCCGCCACGTCGTTCCTTGCCACCAACGTCTGGCCCGTCAAGAAGGAGGCCGATGTCGAGCGTGTCCTCAAGATCCAGCTCTTCGTCGCCACGACGCTCATGACGATCCTCATTGCGCCGCTCGCCAACGCTGTCCTCCCCGCCAAGTTTGTCATTGCCGGCGCCGTCTCGTACGAGGCCACGCCCTACACGGCCTTTGGCTGCGTCGCTGTCGGCCTCTGGGGCGGCTGCATTGTCGGCTTTGTCACCGAGTACTTCACGTCGCACTCGTACACGCCCGTGCGTGAAGTCGCCCAGTCGTGCGAGACTGGCGCCGCCACCAACATCATCTACGGTCTTGCCCTCGGCTACAAGTCGGCCATCATCCCGATCACGATCATCTCGATCGCTGTCTACGTTGGCTTCTCGGCCGCCGGCATGTACGGTGTCGCCCTTGCTGCCCTCGGCTTCCTCGGCACGCTCGCGACCTGCCTCGCCATTGACGTCTACGGCCCCATCTGCGATAACGCTGGTGGCATCGCCGAGATGGCCGAGCTCCCCGCTGAGGTCCGCGACAAGACGGACGCGCTTGACGCTGCCGGCAACACGACCGCTGCCATCGGCAAGGGCTTCGCCATCGGCTCGGCCGCGCTCGTCTCGCTCGCCCTCTTCGGTGGCTTTGTCACGCGCATTGAAGAGACGTCGATCAACATCCTGTCGCCCATCACGTTTGCTGGCCTCTTCATGGGCGCCATGCTCCCGTACTGGTTCACGGCCATGACGATGAAGTCGGTCGGTGTCGCCGCCATGGAAATGGTCAAGGAAGTCAAGCACCAGTTCGCCACGATCCCGGGTCTCCTCGAGGGCCTCCCCGGCCACGGCCCCCCGGACCATGCCCGCTGCATCAAGATCTCGACGGACGCCTCGCTCCGCGAAATGATCCCTCCGGGTCTCCTTGTCATCCTCTCGCCGATCATCGCCGGTACCTTCTTTGGCACGCGCGCGGTCTCGGGTCTCCTTGTCGGTGCGCTCACCTCGGGCGTCCAGCTCGCCATCTCGCAGTCCAACACGGGCGGCGCGTGGGACAACGCCAAGAAGTACGTCGAGAAGGGCTGCGTCTCGATCGAGGACAAGGACGGCAAGCTCATTGTCCAGGGCAAGGGCTCGGCCATCCACAAGGCCGCTGTCATCGGTGACACGGTCGGTGACCCGCTCAAGGACACGTCGGGCCCCGCGCTCAACATCTTGATGAAGCTCATGGCCATCATCTCGCTCGTCTTTGGCGACTTCTTCAAGTCGATCAACAACGGCCGCGGTCTCCTCAACATCTCGGACAACTAAGCTAGTCTTACGCGTCGTGTCGACTACGACTCGCGAGTATAACGGAGTTAGATATCCCTTTTTTGTCACTTGAACGACTTGGTTTTCGAGCTGGTGGGCATCGACTAACTACTAGTACGTCAGTCAGTACCTATCCAACTACTGTATCTGACGTGCTCGATCCTACAGATCGCTGTAAGGCGGCTTGCTGCCCGACGACCAAATCCTTGGGAGCTCGGTGCAGTTGACGCTGCTTCGATATCCCGGCACGCAGACAAGCTTGACAGATCTGCGGCTCTTCGAGTCAGACGAGCGATGCACGCTTGATGATTGGGCCTGGCGCGACCAAACCACTGCTCTGACGTACATGCTCATTGAAACGGGACGCCGTGCTATCCAAAGCCAACGGGGCATACCATGGGGGCATACTGTGAATTCTTGCTCGAGCCTGGTGAGCTTGGTCTCCCTGACGCTCTTGACCGGTTGGTACTAGCAGGTGTCTCCGTCACACGAGCACACGGTCGGGACGCCAAGCGAGTTAGAGATACACAAGCATGTTGATTGAAAACGAATTGAGGCTTTGGCCCTGTCGGCTTCAACCCAGGCCGTCATGGCGACGAAGACGCTGCTCAGCTCTCTGTATCTTAGCACTCGGCAACTGGCGGCTCGTCCTCGATCGTCGTTGGCACGTTCTTGACACTGGCCGTCGCCATGTCCAGAGACTGCGGCCGGGTCGACTTGACGGCGACGACGGCCGCCGCGATGGCCGCCACGAGCGCGACGCCGGCCACCGCCATGATCGCGGCGCTGCTCAGCATCACGCCCGA